CAGTTCACTTCGGCGAGTCAGTGAGTGACCCACTGCACGTGTGCTTGGACAGGCCGACACTTGGCCACGTTCACCCGTCGGCCAGGGTCGAGCCTGTACACCCATACTACTGAGTCTCCTCCGGCTGCTGAGTCTGGCCAGGTAGCTGCGTCGAGTCAGGTGTGTGCTGCAGCGTCCAGGTCTGGTCCTGAGTCTGCTCCCTGCTCGTGTCGTCTCCTGTCCCACCAGACACTCCTCTGGCACCACCGCCTTGGTCACCCCTCCCCGCCTCGTCTCCAAGGCATGGCCTCCTGTGTCCTTGTCTCTGGTCTCCCTCGGTCTCTCCCTCCCCTACCTCCGGGGCCTGCCCCTACCTGCGTCCCCTGCGTCGAGGGGCGACAGCGCGCCGCCCCTCACTCCTCCGAGTTTCCTCCGACAGAGGCTCCGCTACAGACCCTCCACATGGACGTGTGGGGCCCCGCCCGCGTCCGTGGACAGGGGCACGAGCGTTACTTCCTGTCGGTGGTTGACGACTACTCGCGTTACACCACAGTCTTCCCCTTGCGCAGCAAGGGTGACGTCACTGAGGTGTTGATAGACTGGATCCGCGAAGCTCGTCTCCAGCTCAGAGAGAGTTTCGGCTCGGACTTTCCTGTTCTGCGTCTGCACTCTGACAGAGGCGGGGAGTTTTCCTCTGCCCGTCTGGGAGCCTTCTGTCGTGCACAGGGCATCCACCAGACCTTCACGCTTCCGGCCTCTCCACAGCAAAATGGGATTGCTGAGCGCCGCATTGGCATGGTCATGGACGTCGCTCGTACGTCCATGATGCATGCGGCTGCCCCCCATTTTCTATGGCCATTTGCGATTCAGTACGCTGCGCATCAGCTCAACCTTCAGCCCCGGGTCTCCTTGCCAGAGACCTCCCCCGCCTTGCGGTGGACCGGGAAGGTTGGAGATGCGTCTGCGTTTCGGGTCTGGGGATCTCGGGCGTTTGTCTGCGACTTGTCTGCGGACAAGCTGTCCCCCCGTGCTGTTCCCTGCGTCTTCCTTGGCTTCCCCCCTGACGCGCCTGGGTGGCAGTTTTACCACCCCACCTCGCGCCGTGTTCTGTCCTCCCAGGACGTCGCCTTTGACGAGTCGGTGCCTTACTACCGTCTCTTCCCCTACCGCACTGCGCCCCTCCCCCCGCCGCCGCTCTTCCTTGCACCAGGTCCTCCCCCGGTAGACCCCCTCCCCCCTCAGGGTCCTGCCCCGTCAAATGTGTCCCAGGTAGACGCAGTCGAGCCTGTCGAGGTAGCTGTTGACTCTGGTGCTGCTAGAGGTGCTGACCCTGGGGGTGCGGAGTCTGGGGGTGCTGAGTCTGGGGGTGCTGAGCCTGGGGGTGCTGGGTCTGGGGGTGCGGAGCCTGGGGGTGCGGAGCCTGGAGGTGCGGAGCCTGGTGGTGCCGAGCCTAGGGGCGCTGGGCTGCTCGTGTGGCCGCTGGCGGTGCTTCGTCGAGGCGGGAGCCACTCTCTCCACAGGAGCTGCGCGAGTACTGGGGGTACTGCTAGGGCTACTGGAGCTACTGGCGGTACTAGTGCTGCTGGAGCTGGAGCTGCTGGGGGTGTTGGCGCAGGTGTTTCTACTGGCGCTGGTGCGTGTGGGGGTGCTGCTGAGGCTGCTGGAGCTGACGGTCCTACTGGAGTTGGTGCTGCTAGCTGGAGCTGCTGGGGGTGTTGGCGCTGGCGGTGCTGCTGGCGCCGGTGCTTCTGAGGGTGCTGGAGTTGGCGCTGTTGGAGCTGGAGGTGCTGCTGGCGCTGGTACTGCCGCTGGGGGTACTGGTGCCGTCCTTGCTGGCTCTGGAGGTGCTGAGCGGCCGAGGCCGTACTTCGTTCCGCTCCTGGAGCAGGTTCTTGGTCTCCCGCCCTCTCCTGGTCCTGCTCCTTCCTTAGAGTGTCCACAGCCTGTCCAGTCGCAGTCACAGTTACAGCCCGCCTCCCTTCTACCTGCTCCTTCTCCCTACACTGGTCCTACTGGAGGTCTTGCTGAGCATTGTGCGCCCGCGTCTCGTCCTGCGTCGCCTGTTTGTGCTGCTTGCACTAGTGGTTGTACTGTGCGTCCGCGTCCTCCTGCGGTCCCCGGCACACACCAGATGGCGCAGCGTCCTTCCACTGCTCCCCTGCGTGTCCCGTTGGCGTCTCCTCCAGAGTCCTCCCTTCCTACTCTTGCTGACCCGGAGTCTGACTCCCTTCGTGCCGCTAGTCCTTCAGGCACGCGTCTCCTTGCTACACTTGTCACTGACCCTTCCTTTGAGTCCAATGCTGCGTCTGCCCTACTTGCTGAGCTTGTCGACTTCGCTGCTCGCTGTCATCTAGACTACGCTGCCAGTCTCGTTGCTGAGTCTGAGTCTGTCTGTCCTCCGTCCGTCGGGGGTGAGTGTGCTCTTAGCACGGACGTCCTTTAGGACAGGCAGGAGGAGTTCCAGTGCTTTGCTGCTGCTTTGCCCCATCTCGTATCCACGCTGATTGCCCCTGAGGGAGACCCGGATGCACCTGACATCCCGACTCCTCGATCGTACGCTGAGGCGATCGAGGGTCCTACTCCTCTCATTGGCAGTCACCCATGGACGCAGAGATGGCTTCCTGGAAGTCCACAGGCACCTACGTCGACGAGGTTCCCCCACCTGGGGCGAACATCATCAGTGGCATGTGGATTTTCAGGGTGAAGCGGTCGCCGGGTTCTCCGCCTGTCTTCAAGGCGCGTTACGTGGCTCGAGGCTTCAGTCAGCGGCAAGGAGTTGACTACTTCCGGACCTTCTCTCCCACCCCGAAGATGACCACTCTTCGGGTGCTGCTGCACATAGCCGCTCAGCGCGACTACGAGCTTCACTCTCTTGACTTCAGCACAGCTTTCCTGCAGGGCAGCCTGCACGAGGAGATCTGGCTGCGCCGCCCACCTGGCTTCACTAGGTTGTTTCCTCCTGGTACCCAGTGGAGCCTCCGGCGGCCAGACTACGGTCTCCGCCAGGCGCCCCGTGAGTGGCACGACACACTGAGGACTACACTTGCGGCTCTTGGGTTTGCTCCTTCTACAGCCGACCCGTCGCTGTTTCTGCGCACTGACACCTCTTTGCCGCCGTTCTACATCCTCGTGTACGTCAACGACTTGGTCTTTGCCACTGCTGACACTGCTGGACTCGCCCACGTGAAGTCCGAGCTGCAGAAGAGACACACGTGCACAGACTTGGGTGAACTGCGCAGCTACCTTAGCTTGCAGATCACCCGGGACAGAGCACAGCGCACCATTACCCTGACTTAGTCACACATGGTGCAGCAGGCCCTTCAGCGCTTCGGCTTCACGTACTCCTCGCCTCAGGCCACTCCTCTGTCTACTCGCCACTCGCTCTCAGCTCTGTCTTCGGATGAGTCCGTAGAGCCGAGTGGCCCGTACCCAGAGCTTGTTGGCTGCCTCATGTACTTGATGACCTGCACACGACCTGACCTTGCATACCCTCTTAGCATCTTGGCACGCTATGTTGCTCCTGGGAGACACCGACCAGAGCACATGGCTGTAGCGAAGAGGGTGTTGCGCTACGTGTGCAGTACGTCGGGCATGGGGCTAGTGCTTGGAGGGCGACGTCGAGTGGTCCTCACGGGTCACGCAGACGCTTCTTGGGCTGACGACCAGGCTCTGCAGCAGTCGTCACAGGGTTACACCTTCAGCCTTGGTTCCGGCTCTGTTTCGTGGCGGTCTACCTGCTCGTCTTCTATTCTCAGCTCCAGCTGTGAGGCTGAGATCTACGCAGGGGCCATGGCTTCACAGGAGCTACGCTGGCTCACCTACCTGCTGACTGACCTAGGAGAGCCGCCTCGTTCTCCTCCAGTTCTGTATGTAGACAACAAGGCCATGCTGGCCTTGTGTCGGGAGCACAGACTGGAGCAGAGAACGAAGCATATTGCTCTCCGCTACTTCCTGGCTCGTGAGCTGCAGCAGTGTGGTCAGCTCAGCCTCACCTACGTGGCCTCTGAGGCCAACACTGCTGATATCTTCTCCTAGACCCTTCCGCCTTGTGATCATCAGCGCTTCTGTACTTTGCTAGGTCTTGTGCCTACTTGGCCTCACTTGCTCACTTCTTGATCTTGTTTGTACTGTACTCTTTCTATACCGGCACTTGCTTGTCTACCTTAATATATATGATCTTGCATGTGAATTGGCCTTGTGGCCTTGCTCTTGTGCTCGGACTGTGTGGTGACTTTGTGATCCACCCTGAGCTTGCTTTGCTTTGCTTGACTGGTCTTGTGACCACTTGTTCTCCCCCACTTTGCCTATGGGGGTGTGTCAAAACATTATAGCTTATACATTTGTGTAGGCTGTAGTGGGGTAGCCCATAAGGGGTACAACCCAATTAGGGTTAGCACTTGTACCCAACTGTTTCATAGTTCAATCATTCTCTTGTTCTAAACTTCACACCGGGTGATCTGCAAGCCAAGATAGCTATGCAGCTCACCCAGGTCTATGCACGTGTGTCTCTTCCGCAGCTCCGACTTCACTAGAGTCAGAGCCTCAGTGTCAGCAGTGGCAAAAACCAAGTCGTCGACGTACACGAGGATGTAGAACGGCGGCAGCAAAGTGTCGGTGCGCAGAAACAGCCACGGGTCAGCAGTCGAAGGAGCAAACCCAAGACCCGCAAGTGTAGTCCTCAGTGTGTCGTGCCATTCATGAGACGCCTGGCAAAGACCGTAGACTGGCCGCCGGTCGCTCTACTGGGTACCTGCAGGAAACGACCCAGTGAAGCCAGGTGGGCGGCGCAGCCAGATCTCCTCGTGCAGGCTGCCCTGTAAGAAAGCTGTGCTAAAGTCAAGAGAGTGCGCTTACGACTCCGCACCCTTACGTAAAGGCGATTACGGGTCCCTTAGTCGAGACGACAGCTAGCAACAAATTCGACAAGCTCAGCAACAAGGGCAGAGGCAGCAGTGAGTCAAACGAAGGGTCGGTGACAACAGTGGCTAGGAGACGGGTGACAGTAGGACTGGCAGCACGAACTAAGTTAGGAAGAGAGGACGCAGGAGACGGCAGGGGAACTTGAAGTGGAATAGAGGAAGGATGAAGTGCCATAGTGTGAGTGCCGGGGACAGGAGGAGGACGCCTACGAGTGCGAACAGCGCGAACAGGCGAGGCAGGATGAGACGCAGGCTCACGACGCTCTGTAAGGGAGTCAGTCTGCTTAGTGTAAGGAAAAGGGGCAGGCAATGGGGAGTCTGGCTGTAACTGTGGCTGCAACTGGTCAGGCGGTGGACACAGCATGGGATGAGTACGGCCAGTAGAAGACGGGAGACTAAGAACCTGGGAAAGCGCCGAGCCAGGTGGCGACAGAGACGACGGCAAGGGCGGAACGAAAAACAGTCGCCGATGCACAGTGCCTCCAGCACCAATTCTAACAGCTCCAGCACCCCAGCGCCAGCACCCCCAGCTCCAGGGTCTCCAGCTCCAGCACCTGCAACACCACCAGCTCCAACAGCTCCAGTACCTCCAGTACGAGCACCTCCGGGACCAGCAGCTCCAGCACCTCCAGCACCTCCAGCAGCAGCACCACCACCAGCTCCAGCAGCTCCAGTACCCCCAGCACCTCCAGCACCAGCAGCACCACTAGCTTCGGCAGCTCCAGAACCCCCGGCACGAGCACCTCTAGATCTGCGGAGATAACTGCTGCAACGGGATCTAGGCTATGGGCTAGGCACGTGTGCTCGTGTGATCTCTGCGTTCATTCACTTAGTCGTTTCCTTGTGTTCACGCTGCTTGCTAGTTCACGGGGAGAAATGGCAAGAGTTTTACTAGGAAAACATGACAACAATGATAGCAACAACATTGGCATCACAGACTACATCAGTGCTAGCTAGGGTGCTGGTCGACCTCCAGCGCAGCACGGTCGACCACGCTCCAGCGCAACAGCACTCGCACCGCTCCACCATTGCGGAGTCCACGGTGTGCCGGCGCTGCACCAAGTCGGCTGCACAGCGTTGCACCCGCAGGACAACGGTGTACCTGCTTCGCAGGTGCGCGCAGCTGGTTAGCACTCCACACATTGTCACGAGCACAGCGCAAACGCCTGGCAGACTCCACGCCAGCGACTGCGCCCACCAGCCACGTCGACCTCGGGATACCACCCCCGAGGTCGGCCTCGCATACTCCACCCTGGCGACACTCGCACACGTCGCCCGAGTATTCCGGTCGACCGGGCAACCACGCCTGGCTGACCAGCGCAGTCCGTAGCCAGCCACGCATGCCCGGCGTCCCCTGTCCGGCGTCCAGGCGCCCAGGACGCCTTCGAATCCCCAGGTCGGCGTCCAGACGCCCAAGACGCCGACCAAGCCTCCAGAGCAGCGTCCCTCCTCCCAGGACGCCGACCAGACGCCCAGGTCGGTGTGTGGGCCCCCCGGGACGCCCAGGTCGGCGTCCGGACCCCAGGACGCCGTGCAGACGCCCAGGTAGTCGTGGCGACGCCCAGCTCGGCGTCCAGCTTCCCAGGATGCCGTCCAGGCGTCCGGGACACCAACCAGGCGTCCAGGGCGGCGTCCTCCTGCTCGACGCCCTCCAGCCAGGCGCCCTCCAGCCAGGCGCCCTCCAGCTTGGCGCCCTTGCAGTGGCCCCCATGCCCACTGCTGCAGGTCGGCTGCAACCCCCGCACATCCGACCACAAGGTTGGCTCCGCCCAAGCGAGGACGGGGCCTTACAACGCTCCCGTTGACAAGAACCAGCAGCTCCAGCACCTCTAGTGCCTCTAGCACCTCCAGCACCAGCAGCACCACCAGCTCCGGCAGCTCCAGCACCTCCAGTACGAGCACCTCCAGGACCAGCAGCTCCAGCACCTGCAATACCTCCAGCTCCAGTGCCTCCAGCTCTAGAGCTCACAGCACCACGAGCTCCGGCAGCTCCAGCACCTCCAGTACAAGCACCCCCGGGACCAGTAGTGCCAGCACCACCAGCACCTCCAGCACCAGCAGCACCAGTGCCTCGAGCGCCAGCACCTCCAGCGGCAGGGCCTCCAGCTCCAGCAGCGCGACACCGGAGGCGGGTGCGCCAAGCGTACCACTCGCGCAGCTGCTGTGGTGAGAAAGGCTCCCGCTAGCTAGACCGCTGGGGCGAGGCACCTGCAGGACCTCTAGGACTGGTAGCTCCAGCACCTCCATTACCTCCAGTACCAGTAGTACCTCTAGCACCTCCAGGACTTGCAGCTGCAGGGACTCTAGCTCTAGCAGCGCCACTCCGAAGGTGTGTGCGCCGAGTGTACCACTTGCGCAGTTGCTGTGGTGAGAGAGGCTCCCATAGTGTAGACGCAGTACCCCTAGGCTCAGCACCCCCAGACTCAGCACCCCCAGGCTCCACACCCGCATGCTCAGCACCCCCAGGCTCTGCACGCTGAGACGCAGCACCCCCAAGCTCCAAACCCGCATGCTCAGCACCCCCAAGCCCCGCACGCTCAGGCTCGACAACCCCGGGCTCCGCACTCGCAGGCTGAGCACCTCCAGGTTCCGCACGCTTAGGCTTCGCAACCGCAGGCTCAGCACCCCCATATGCAGCACCCCGAGCAGCACCAGAGTAACCAGTAACCTCGACAGGCTCAACCAAGGGGAGTGGGTCTACCTGAGACACACCTGAAAGAGCAGGACCCTGAGGGGGCACGCGGTCTACCAGAGGGGGACTTGGAGTGAAGAAGAGCGGCGAGAGGGGGAGTGGGGCAGTGCGGTAGGGGAAGAGATGGTAAAAAGGAACCGACTCATCGAACGTGACGTCCTGAGAGGGCAGGACACGGTGCGAGGTGGGGGGGTAAAACTGCCAACCAGGCGCGTCAGGGGGAAAGCCAAGGAAGACGCAGGGAACGGCGCGGGAGGAAGCTTGTCCGCGGAGGTATCGCGGACAAAGGCACGACAGCCCCAGACCCGGAACACCGATGCATCGCCAACCTCCCCCGTCCAACGCAGTGTAGGCGAGGTCTCCGGCAAGGAGACACGGGGCCAAAGGTTGAGCTGGTGCGCAGTGTACCAGACCGCAAACGGCCACAGAAAATGGGGAGCAACCGCATGGATCATGGAGGTACGAGCCACCTCCCTGACTAAGCCAATGCAGCGCTCACAACCCCCATTCTGCCGCGGAGAGGCCAGAAGCATGAACGAGTGGAGGATGCCCTCCCCACGACGAAAGTCCCGCAAGAGGTCGGAGGAGAACTCACCACCTCTGTCAGAGTGCAGACGCAGGACTGGAAGGTCCGTGTCAAACCGCTCGCGGAGCTGGAGACGGACAGCGCGGATCCAAGGGATCAAGACATCAGGGACCTCCCCCTTGCTACGCAAGGGGAAGACCGTGGTGTAACGCGATTAGTCATCAACAACCAGTAGAAAGTATCGCTCGCGGCCCTGTCCCTGGACGCTGGCTGGGTCCCACACGTCTATGTGGAGAGTCTGCGGGGAAGCAGTCGTCGGGGGAAACGAGGAGGAGTGAGGAGCGGCACGGTGCTGCCCCTCGACACAGGGTAGGCAGGGAGGGGCAGGCGAGGGTGGGAGGGGAGGCAGAGATATGGGAAGACCACAGACAAGGAGGTGGGAGTGCATGCCACGGAGGCGTGGCAGGGAGGGGTGACCAAGGCGGTGGTGCCAAAGGAGAGTCTGGTGCGACAGGAGGTGACACGAACAGGGGGCTGCTAGCTGACCTGACGCGGACACAGATGTAGCTACCTGAAGAGGCTCAGTAGTTAGTGTGTACAGGCTCGACCTAGGTCGACGGGTGAACATGGCCAGGTGACAGGCCCGTCCGCGCACACGTGCAGATCACCAGACGCTGTCCTCCAAGGGTAAAGGTGTCAACCCAAGCATCCTGAAGGATGGCGTTACTCACCAAGTTTGTAGAAAACGAGGGGAGGTGAAGACCTGACAGTGAGCTAGACGGAATAGCCGAACACGGGAGAACAGTGAAGGAACGTGCAAGAACCAGGCCCCCAGAGGGGTCAAACAGAGAGACTGCAACCAGTGCAGTGGTATGACTATGGTGCTGGCGCGAAACGATACATGGCAGTAAGGATAGCGTCATAGTACAGAGCAAAGATATCCACACCGTGCCTACGAAGCTCTAGGCAGCGGGGGTGTGAGAGTATGATGGCTTATGCTAGCTTGCTTGGACTTTGTTATGCTATTACTAGCTTGGGTTTATTTTATCATGCATATTTATGTCAAACTCTTATACTATAGTCTGTCTAGGCTATAGTGGGGTAGACACTATAGGGTACAACACTTCTAGGTTTCCTACTTGTACCCACCTGCTTTCTAGTTCATTCCATTCCTCATTCTTCACATGGTATAGAGCAGGTTCCCTAGTGGGAACGCTTCCTTGGGCCCACCACTGAAATTTTCCTTTCTGACCGGAGCGCTAGTCGCTCCTGCCCGAGTCGCGTCTTTTTCGCCGCCCTTTCCAGGCCCCTAGTGGCCCCTAGCGGTCTCGTCGCTGCCCCCCACGCGGCCCCGTTGCCGCCCCTAGCGGCCCCGTCGCCGCCTCTCACCCTACGCGGCCCCGTCGCCGCCCCTACGCGGCCCCGTCGCCGCCCCTACGCGGCCCCGTCGCCGCCCCTAGCGGCCCCGTCGCCGCCCCTAGCGGCCCCGTCGCCGCCTCTCACCCTACGCGGCCCCGTCGCCGCCCCTACGCGGCCCCGTCGCCGCCCCTAGCGGCCCCGACGCCGCCCCTACGCGGCCCCGTCGCCGCCCCTAGCGGCCCCGTTGCCGCCCCTATCGGCCCCGTCGCCGCCTCTCACCCTACGCGGCCCCGTCGCCGCCCCTAAGCGGCCCCGCTGCCGCCCCTAAGCGGCCCTCTCGCCGCCCCTAAGCGGCCCCGTTGCCGCCCCTACGTGGCCCTGTCGCCGCCTCTACGCGGCCCTGTCACCGCCTCTATGCGGCCCCATCGCCGCCCCCCCTTCCTACGCGGCCCCGTTCGCCGCCACTACACGGCCCCGTCGCCGCTCCCCTCCCTACGCGGCCTCGTCGCCGCCCCTAGCGGCCCCAACGCCGCCTCTACCGAGCAGCCCAGGAGCTGAACCGCCCAACAGCAGAGCCGCCGAGCCGCCCAGCAGCCGAGCCGCCGAGCCGCCCAGCAACCGAGCCGCCGAGCCGCCCGACAGCCGAGCCGCCCAGCAGCCGAGCCGCCGAGCCGCCCAGCAGCTGAACCGCCGAGCCACCCGACAGCCGAGCCGCCCGACACCCGAGCCGCCCAGCAGTCGAGCCGCTGAGCCGCCGAGCCGCCCTGCCGTCGAGCCGCTACTAGTCCTACCGGCGCGCCCCGGCCCTACTTACTCGGACTGGTGAGCTCACTCCTTGCTAGGCCACTGCAGTCATGGCCACCCCCAGTGTTCTTACCTTAGATACTGAGGGTCGTGCTGTTGACTTTGAGGTTTGGGTCGATGACCTCTAGCTGTTCCTCCAGTGCGATAGGGCAGACGGCCTCTCCATGTTCGACCTCACCTCTGGTGCCTCCCCTGCCCCGCCTGCTACTTCTGACAGCATTGTTCGCTCACAGTGGGCGACACGCGATGCTGCTGCCCGTCTTGCTGTGCGTCGCCACTTACCGACCACTGAGCGTGCGCACTTTAGCCAGTACAAGAGTGCTCAGACCTTGTACGACGCTTTAGTTGCACACTACTCTTCCCCTGCCACTGCTGCACTGAGCCGCCTCATGCTACCGTACCTCTTCCCTGACCTTGCTGCCTTTCCCACAGTCGCTGACCTCATTACGCACCTCCGCACTAGTGACACTCGCTACCGCGCTGCGCTTCCTGCTGAGTTCTGCGCCAAGAACCCCCCCCCCCCCCCCCCCCCCCCCCCCATGTACATCACCCTCTACTACATAGTCACCCGGCTCCCTGACTCTCTTCGCTTAGTCAGGGACCACTTCCTCTCAGTTTGCCCCACCACACTCACCGTTGACCTCCTCGAGGAGCGCCTCTTATCAGCAGAGAAGAGCATAGTCGCTGTAGGAGCCTCTCGTGGTGACCCTTGCACCCCCGTCTTTGAGGGGTGTTCCCCCTCCCCCCTCTTGCCCTCTATTGCTTCTGCTGCTGCTGCCGACCTTGTTGGTTTCTACGGGGTCGGCGCTGCGTCTGCCTCTAGCGGGAGACGCCGCATCGGCAAGGGCAAGGGGGGCAAGGGAGCTGGAGGGGCTAGCGAGGGCGGTGGAGGTGGTGGTGGAGGCAGTGGAGGGGGTGGGGGTGGTGGTGGGAGTGGTGGCGGGGGTGGCGGCGGCGGTGGCAGCAGTGGAGGCGGAGGAGGCGGCGGTGGTGGCGGAGGGAGCGGAGGCGGCGGAGGTGGCGGAGGCGGCGGCGGCGGCGGCGGTGGAGCTGGTCGCGACTCTGCGCAGAGCAGTGGGTCCAGTGGTGGTCCACGCGAGTAGCAGCAGCGCAGTCGTGAGGTCCCTGAGGCGTCAGAGATCCCTCGCTGGGGAGATCTGTCTAGGGCGGGGGTTGCCATCTTTGATCTTGACTATGATGCTATTCTTGCTGCCACGTATGCTGTGTCTGCTAGTGTTGAGGGTGACTGTTACCTGTGTGTTCCGCCTGACCCGGGCATTGAGGCTGCTGCTCTAGGTGCTGGTGAGGCTGCTGCTCTAGGTGCTAGTGCATCTGCTGCCCCAGGTGCTAGTGCGTCTGCTGCCCCAGGTGCTGGTGAGTCTGCTCTCTCAGGTACTACGTCGGCTCAGGCCTTACACACCTTCACCCTTGACTCGGGTGCTTCCCGCTCCTTCTTTCGAGACCGCACCACGCTTACGCCGCTTAGTCGGCCGGTTGCAGTCTCCCTGGCGGACCCCTCTGGGGGTCCTGTCCTTGCTAGCTTCTCCACTGTCTTACCGTGCCCGGCAGCCCCCTCTGGCACCCTGTCAGGTCTCTACCTCCCCTCGTTCTCTACGAACTTGGTGAGTGGAGCTGACCTACAAGATAGGGGGGTTGACCAGTTCACTCCTGCGAGTCAGCGGGTGACCCACTGCACGTGTGCTCAGACAGGCCGACACTTGGCCACGTTCACCCGTCGGCCAGGGTCGAGCCTGTACACACTTACTACTGAGTCTCCTCCGGCTGCTGAGTCTGGCCAGGTACCTGCGTCGAGTCAGGTGTTTGTTGCAGCGTCCAGGTCTGGTCCTGAGTCTGCTCCCTGCTCGTGTCGTCTCCTGTCCCACCAGACTCTCCTTTGGCACCACCGTCTTGGTCACCCCTCCCTGCCTCGTCTCCGAGGCATGGCCTCCCGTGTCCTTGTCTCGGGTCTCCCCCGGTCTCTCCCTCCCCTACCTCCGGGGCCTGCCCCTACCTGCGTCCCCTGCGTCGAGGGACGACAACGCGCCGCCCCTCACTCCTCCGAGTTTCCTCCGACAGAGGCTCCGCTGCAGACTCTCCAAATGGACGTGTGGGGCCCCGCCCGCGTCCGTGGACAGGGGCACGAGCGTTACTTCCTGTTGGTGGTTGACGACTACTCGCGTTACACCATAGCCTTCCCCTTGCGCAGCAAGGGTGACGTCACTGAGGTGTTGATAGACTGGATCCGCGAAGCTCGTCTCCAGCTCAGAGAGAGTTTCGGCTCGGACTTTCCTGTTCTGCGTCTGCACTCTCACAGAGGCGGGGAGTTTTCCTCTGCCCGTCTGGGAGCCTTCTGTCGTGCACAGGGTATTCGCCAGACCTTCACGCTTCCGGCCTCTCCACAGCAAAATGGGATTGTTGAGCGCCGCATTGGCATGGTCATGGACGTCGCTCGTACGTCCATGATCCATGCGGCTGCCCCCCATTTTCTGTGGCCGTTTGCGGTTCAGTACGCAGCGCATCAGCTCAACCTTCAGCCCCGGGTCTCCTTGCCAGAGACCTCCCCCACCTTGCGGTGGACGGGGAAGGTTGGAGATGCGTCTGCGTTTCGGGTCTGGGGATCTCGGGCGTTTGTCCGCGACTTGTCTGCAGATAAGCTGTCCCCCGTGCTGTTCCCTGCGTCTTCCTTGGCTTCCCCCCTGACGCGCCTGGGTGGCAGTTTTACCACCCCACCTCGCGCCGTGTTCTGTCCTCCCAGGACGTCACCTTTGAAGAGTCGGTGCCTTACTACCGTCTCTTCCCCTACCACACTGCGCCCCTCCTCCCGCCGCCACTCTTCCTTGCGCCAGGTCCTCCCCCGGTAGACCACCTCCCCCCTCAGGGTCCTGCCCTGTCAGGTGTGTCCTAGGTAGACGCAGCCGAGCCTTTCGAGGTAGCTGTTGACTGCTGTTAGAGGTGCTGAGCCTGCGGGTGCCGGGTCTAGAGGTGCTGAGTCTGGGGGTGCTGAGCCTGGGGGTGCTGAGTCTGGGGGTGCTGAGCGTGGGGGTGCTGAGCCTAGGTTTGCTGAGTGTGGGGATGCTGAGCCTGGGGGTGCTGAGCCTGGGGGTGCTGAGCCTGGGGGTGCTGAGTCTGGGGGTGCGGAGCCTGGGGGTGATGGGTCTGCTCGTGTGGCCGCCGGCGGTGCTTCGTTGAGGCGGGAGCCACTCTCTCCACAGGAGCTGTGCGAGTGGTTTGCCTGGCGCTGGAGCCGTGCTGCAGGAGCTGGAGGTACTACTGTTGCTGCTGGTCATGGAGGTACTCGTACTGGCGGTGCTGGAGCTGCTAGGACTGGGGGTGCTGCTGGGGCTGCTGGAGTTGGTCCTACTGGAGGTACTGCTGGAGCTGCTGGCGGTACTGTAGCTGCCGGTCCTGCTAGAGCTGGATCTGCTGAGGGTGTTGGCGCTGGTGGTTCTGCTGGCGCTGGTGCTTCTGAGGGTGATGGGGTTGGCACTGTTGGAGCTAGAGGTACTGCTGGCGCTGGTGCTGCCGCTGGGGGTACTGGTGCTGTCCCTGCTGGTTCTGGAGACGCTGCGCGGCCGCGGCCGTACTTTGTTCCGCTCCTCGAGCAGGTTCTTGGTCTCCCGCCCTCTACTGGTCCTGCTCCTCCCTTAGAGAGTCCGCAGCCTGTCCAGTCGCAGTCACAGTTACAGCCCGCCTCCCTTCTTCCTTCTCCTTCTCCCTACACTGGTCCCACTGGAGGTCTTGCTGAGCATCGTGAGCCTGCGTCTCGTCCTGCGTCGCCTGTTCGTGCTGCTCGCACTAGTAGTTGTGCTCTGCGCCCGCGTCCTCCTGCGGTCCCAGGCAAACACCAGATGGCACTGCGTCCTTCCACTGCTCCTCTGCGTGTCCCGTTGCCGTCTCCTCCTGAGTCCTCTCTTCCTGTTCTTGCTGACCCGGAGTCAAACTCTCGTCGTGCTGCCAGTCCTACTGTCACGCGTCTCCAGGCTACTGTTGTCACTGACCCTTCCTTTGAGTCCACTGCTGCGTCTGCCTTGGTTGCTGAGCTTGTCGACTTTGCTGCTCGCTGTCGTCTAGACTACGCTGCTAGTCTTGTTGCTGAGTCTGAGTCTGTCTGTCCTCCGTCCGTCGGGGGTGAGTGTGCTCTTAGCACGGACGTCCTTGAGGACAGGCAGGAGGAGTTCCAGTGTTTTGCGGCTGCTTTGCCTCATCTCGTGTCCACGTTGATTGCCCCCGAGGGAGACCCGGATGCACCTGACATCCCGACTCCTCGATCGTACGCTGAGGCGATCGAGGATCCCTACTCCTCTCAGTGGCAGTCACCCATGGACGCAGAGATGGCTTCCTGGAAGTCCACGGGCGCCTACGTCGACGAGGTTCCCCCACCTGGGGCGAACATCGTCAGTGGCATGTGGATTTTCAGGGTGAAGCGGCCGCCGGGTTCTCCGCCTGTCTTCAAGGCGCGTTACGTGGCTCGAGGCTTCAGTCAGCGGCAGGGAGTTGACTACTTTCAGACCTTCTCTCCCACCCCAAAGATGACCACTCTTCTGGTGCTACTGCACATAGCCACTCAGCGCGACTACGAGCTTCACTCTCTTGACTTTAGCACAGCTTTCCTGCACGGCAGCCTGCACGAGGAGATCTGGCTGCGCCGCCCACCTGGCTTCACTGGGTCGTTTCCCCTTGGTACCCAGTGAAGCCTCCGGCGGCCAGACTACGGTCTCCGCCAGGCGCCCCGTGAGTGGCACGACACACTGAGGACTACACTTGCGGCTCTTGGGTTTGCTCCTTCTACTGCCGACCCGTCGATGTTTCTGCGCACCGACACCTCTTTGCGGCCGTTCTACATCCTCGTGTACGTCGATGACTTGGTCTATGCCACTGCTGACACTGCTGGATTAGCCCACGTAAAGTCGGAGCTGCAGAAGAGACACACGTGCACAGACCTGGGTGAACTACGCAGCTACCTTGGCTTGCAGATCACCCGGGACAGAGCGCAGCGCACCATTACCCTGACTCAGTCACACATGGTGCAGCAGGTCCTTCAGCGCTTTGACTTCACGTACTCCTCGCCTCAGGCCACTCCTCTGTCTACTCGTCACTCGCTCTCAGCTCTGTCTTCGGATGAGTCCGTAGAGCCGAGTGGCCCGTACCCAGAGCTTGTGGGCTGCCTCATGTACTTGATGACCTGCACACGACCTGACCTTGCATACCCTCTTAGCATCTTGGCACGCTATGTTGCTCCTGGGAGACACCGACCAGAGCACATGGCTGCAGCGAAGAGGGTGTTGCGCTACTTGTGCAGTACGTTGGGCATGGGGCTAGTGCTTGGAGGGCGATGTCGAGTGGTCCTCATTAGTCACGCATACGCTTCTTGGGCTGACGACCAGGCTACGCAGCGGTCGTCACAGTGTGACACCTTCAGCCTTGGCTTCGGCTCTGTTTCGTGGCGGTCTACCCGCTCGTCTTCTGTTCTCGGCTCTAGCTGTGAGGCTGAGATCTACGCGGGGGCCATGGCTGCACAGGAGCTACGCTGGCTCACCTACCTACTGACTGACCTCGGAGAGCCGCCTCGTTCTCCTCCAGTTCTGTACGTAGACAACAAGGCCATGCTGGCCTTGTGTCGGGAGCACAGACTGGAGCACAGAACGAAGCACATTGCGCTTCGCTACTACCTTGCTTGTGAGCTGCAGCAGCGTGGTCAGCTGCGCCTTGCTTACGTGGCCTCTGAGGCCAACACTGCTGATATCTTTACCAAGGCACTTCCGCCTTGTGATCATTAGCGCTTTTGTACGTTGCTAGGTCTTGTGCCTACTTGGCCTCACTTGCTCACTTCTTGACCTTGCTTGTACTGTGATCCTTCTATACATGCACTTGCTTGTTTACCTATATATATATATGATCTTGCATGTGAACTGGCCTTATGGCCTTGCTCTTGTGCTCGGACTGTGTGGTGACGTTGTGATCCACCCTGAGCTTGCTTTGCTTTGCTTGACTGGTCTTGTGACCTCTTGTTCTCCCCCACTTTGCCTATGGGGGTGTGTCAAACTCTTATACTATAGTCTGTCTAGGCTGTAGTGGGGTAGACACTATAGGGTACAACACTTCT